TTTTTCGAAGTGTGAATTGATGATAACTGTGAAACGCGATTTTCGCCGTCGTTACGGAATCGATGCTCCAACTACTCAGAGCATACGTCGATGGTATAAGCAATTTGAAGAAACAGGGTGTTTGTGCAAAGGAAAAAGCACAGGCCGGCCTAGTGTATCCGACGATAACGTGGAACGAATTAGAGAGAGTTTTGTACTAGATGTTATTCGTATAACCAAAGGAGCTCACATAGAACATTTATAGATACAGTTAATTAAAATTGACATATTTTTCTTTTATTTAATGTATAACATATTGTTCTAAACCTAAAAAATAAAATAATATAAGCACTTTAAATCGGATGAATCATTTTGAATAACCCTGTATATTAATATATTCATAATATACGCTACATACGTATTTGTCAATAATAATAATTGTGCTTATAATAAATAAGTAATAATAAGTCATAATAGGTAAATAATATTAGAAAAAAATTAGTGTGGTATGAATTTACAACACACATTTGAGAGTCACAAGTCCTCTGCCCTACTGATAAGTAATTTTATTCGGGAACCAATTCGAACAGTTGTATACTAGACAGTATTTTTTTCGGGAACCAATTCGTACACATTTAATTGACCCGGGAACCAACTCCACGTTTGCCAATAAATTGTAGGTACTCAAGAATCCGTGATTTCTGTATAATTATATTAACAAAATTAGCCCGTGATCAAATATTGCAGTGTTTACGTAAAACGAAACACGCCTGATTCATGAGCGGGATATAATAACTTAAAATATATAATAATCTGGAATTTAACATAATACACAAATTAAACCTAAAACCTATGTAGAGAATTACAAACGAATGTCATTTCTAATTTATATTATTAATTATAATTTATAATGTACTCGAGGTTTTTGGAAAAAGTTAATTGCATATAAATAAATTATAAAATACCCTTAGGGATAGAAGCTGATACACTGTCTCCACTCAGAATAATTATTATTATGCAATGATTTTCATTGATTGAAAATTTAACAATTCAATGATTCTAACGAATTAAACTCCAAATACGTACTGTAAACTATACGACAGTATGGCTTTTTATTCTTTATTTTGTCCAACCCTTTTCATCCCATATTACGAAATAGTTAATAACATAGTGAATGTGTTTATAAAAATAATAAAATAAACACTGTATAATTCAATACAAAAAGTAGTATATTGACTATAATACTATAGCTCACAGCAACATTGGGTTTTCTTATTATTATATTCTTATATAATTTACTTTTTTTGTGTTTTATTTGTAACTATTTGTTAGTATTATTTTACATTGTATGTTTTCTTTATAACTATTATCAACAACTGAAAGTTGATTCTGTACCATCTGTAAAAAAGTTATTTTTCACATTTATTGTAATACAAATATGTGTTTTTTTGTTTATACTGTTACTTTTAATTTATATTCTGCAGTCACATATTTTGCACTACATACTTGCCACTACATTATGAAAATAAATTAGTAAAAACAATAATTACATTATTACTCATTTACACATAATCATATATCATAATCATAATTAAAAGTAAGCAAGTTTACATTTTTAACAAAACTTACTTCATATTATAATATACTCATAGATAATAGAAGATTCGTCTATTATCTGTGTATATACTGCAGCTAATAAGTGTGGTGACTAGGGAACGGACTTTGATGCAAAATACATTTTTTAGTGGGTAGAATAGGGCAATGCTTTCTAAGTGTAAAATTCGATTCATACATCAGAGAATTTAAAAATGAAACTTTTATTTTGCATTTTTTTTGCATTTTTTAAACTTTTTAAGTTTTTAAAGCATTTTTTGACATTTTTAGAGCATTTTTCCATTTTTAAGTCATTTTTCATATATATTAAATATTTGTTGCTTGGAATTATAAAATTTTAGTTATTTTTACGAAGATCGGCTGATTGTATCTATCTATACGACTATACGTAATTCCCATCAAATAATAATTTCGATAACGTTACGATATGCGATATAAAACTAATTGGTGTCCGATTATTAGTAGGTAGGTACTCGTAGAGTCGTTAGTCGTTGTCGTGTCCGATTATTAGTAGGTAGGTACTCGTAGAGTCGTTAGTCGTTAGTCGTGTTTGCTATCGTAGTTCGAATAAGTGTGAAATATGCCGAAAATTAAGCCGTCCGACCGTTGTCGTTTGCGTGCGTATGTACAAGAATTCGGTGAAAATATATTTTCCACCGATGGAAAAATTTTATTTTGCAAGGTTTGCGAGGTTAAAGTTGCAGCAGAAAAAAAATTTACTATTACTCAACATATCAGCCGAGATAAACATTTACGTGCATTGAATAGAAAGAAAGAAAAAGAAGACAACGAAAAAACTCAAATGTTTTTGAATACGACGACAAATAGTTCATTTAATTCAGAACTATGTTCTATGATGTTATCAGCCAATATACCTATTTCTAAATTGAAACATCCTGAGTTTCGCAATTTTCTGTTTAAACACACAGGCCAAACCATTCCAGATGAATCCACAATAAGAAAATATTATGTGAGTAATTGTTACAACGACACAATTAATAATATAAGGGCTTATTTAAAAGATAAAAAATTGTGGATAAGTATTGACGAAACTACTGACGTAGAAGGCCGATTTGTTGCCAACGTAGTTATTGGTACTTTGGAACTTGGGTGCCCCGGAAAAACTTTTTTATTTAATATGGAATTATTAGAAAAAACAAACAATAGTACAATTGTGAAATTGTTTGACAAAACCATGCGTTTATTATATCCAGAGGGAGTTAAACACGATAATATTCTATTATTTGTCAGTGACGCAGCGCCTTATATGGTCAAAGCCGGGAAAAATATTAAAGCTCTCTATTCGAAAATGGAACATGTCACATGTTTGGCACATGACCTACATAGGGTTGCGGAAGAAGTGCGAAGACATTTTCCAAAAGTAGATGCTTTAATATCAAATGTTAAAAAAATATTTGTAAAATGTTCATCTCGAGTACTAAAATTTACAGAAATAGCGCCAGAAGTTCCTATGCCACCTCAACCAATATTAACTAGGTGGGGTACATGGTTAGTGGCAGCTATATATTATTGTGAACATTACCAATTAATTAAATCCGTTGTAATGGAATTCGATAAAGGCGACGCTGTTGCAATTGAAAATGCACAAACATTATTCACCGATAATAGTTTGGAATTTGATCTAGCATTTATAAAGGCTAACTATGGTAACTTACCGAAATATATAACAACTTTAGAAACATCTGGATTATTGTTGGCTGATGCAGTCGGTATTATTGAAAAATTAAGGAACGAAATCGGAATAGATAAAAGTAAAATAGGGAAAACCATATATCAAAAATTTGAAAATGTAATTGAAAAAAATAAAGGATATAAAGCAATGAAAAATATTTCAAATATTTTGGAAAGAAATACATCAATTCGAGACGACATATCCGAAGAACTAACAGCTGATGATATGGCATATATGAAGTTTGCACCAGTGACTTCTTGTGACGTTGAGCGAAGTTTTTCAGTATACAAAACGACACTCACAGATAACCGTAGAAGATTTTTATTTGAAAATATTAAACACCATGTTATTGTTCAGTGTAACAAAGATTATAAATTAGGTAAGAAATAAATAAAAATACATTTAAACTCTATAATTAATAATTATTAATTAACGTAAAACATTTTTCAGGCTAAAAAAGAAAGAAGACGAAAAAGTTTTTTTTATTGTGTACCTATATTTAAATATTTTTTTATAAGATAAATTTTTTATAATGACGATTTTTTTAGAAGTTTTAAATTTTAATAATATACATACACAAAACTGTTCAAAATTTGGTTTTTATTGAATTTAATAACATTTTTAATGTTTTTTAGTGCATTTTTTCTGTGCATTTTTTGATATTAAAGCATTTTTTTAAGGCATACGGTCGTATTTTTTAAGGACATTTTTCTTATTTTTTAAGACATTAAAGTCCGTTCCCTAGTGGTGACTATTGTAAGCATTGTTCCCCTGTTGTCGTATCGGCGACACTACATCAACGTCAGTCTGCACGCCGTGATAACAACGTATTATGATAACATGCGACGGACTGAATTATTTTATCATTTTAGTGTTACCTACTGTGTAAAACGAATAATATCCCATGCTCCCCTAGCTTAGTAATACTGAACTAGACCTGGGAGAGTTTACATGTCATTAAAATCGGGAGAGTTTACAATCGCCCCTTTTTTTCATTGATAGATTCATTAATAAATATTTTATGTTTTGATAAACTTAAAGACTATCTAATCTTAATAGCTACCACGTATATACATAAATATAATTACAAAAAATAAGGGTGTGGGATGTCTGTAGTAGCATTCATTACCATGAAAAATCACTACCTATATTGAGTTTTACATAGTCAACAGACTATATAAACGATAAAATCAACAGACTACATAAACGATAAAAAAATAAATAAAATCCAATTTAAAATGAATTGATTTATTAGCATTTTTAAATATTATTTATTTTTATTTATAACAATAAATTAACAAACTTATTATTACAACTCGAATTTTAGTCAAAAAATATTGTTACTTTTGAATATTTTGATAAAGTCTATTAATTCTAAATAAATAAATAACACATACATATTGGTCATATTGATATTAATTATATTATATAATTATAATTTAATTATATTTTAATTATATATTATTATATAATTAGCATTTAGATATAATAACAACATGTCAACACAACGTCACTCGGTTAAACTATTTAAGACTTAAATATATCATTTACATAATTTATTTAATCTATTATTTTATAATTTGTTGTATATAAGTTCCTCCTTATTAAACACATATTTTCTTAAATTATTTATATTATAAATGTATAATAAAAGTTGGTAGAAAAAAATAAATAAATCATTGACCCTGTGGGTCACTATTTCTGACGCCCTACCACCTGTCCAGTCATCAAACGGTTATCAGCTGAGTGTAGAAAAGAGATAATGGGAAACAATAATAAATGACTCATTCAGATATACAGTCATACCATTGTGGGACATTCTCATAGATTGACTAGTGACTATAGAAGTATAGAGCACTGACTAGTGACTAGTAAATAGTGACTACTCAGTACTCACTATAACAGTTACACTGTTATAGACACTACATCAAAGTTCTAGTCTTATAGTCGTTGAATTTTCGTCTATGTTCGTATTTCGACAAAAATTTATTCAAGGATTGTTTTCCATTTGACGATTTCCAGTCATTTATATTTTTTGTGCTTTATTTTGTAAAACTTTATCGACGTCATGTCTCTGTACCCTTCTTTGGAAGATTTAAAATTGGACGAATTCAATAAGGTATGTTGTATGTATTGGATGTTTGCTAGTAAAGAGAATTATTAACTGTTTATAAGGGATGGAATTCAATTTTAATAATCAACTGTCTACATTATAATATTGCATGTATAATATTATGTAATATAATTTTTATAATTGATTATTAATACATGTTTTATTTTTGTTACATATTTTTATTTGATTTAAATACATTGCAGACACAAAATCAAATTGTTCAACAAAATAAGAATCCACCTCCATTTATGGCTATTTGTCCGCCACATCCATCGGGTATGGATCAAGAATCACTAGGTGCCATGTATCCAATACTCAATGATTATTTGGGATTAGAGCTTAGTATTTTAGCACAAAATAACAGCATTGACATTTCTTCCCAAAAAAGTCAAGCAAAAACTAATGCTGTAGCGATTCCTTTCCATGATATTCCAACGCATGTGACAAATGGTGTTCGTAAGGTAAATGAGTTACTCATATTATTATTTTCTGTTTATAAAATTACCTATCAAATTCTAATATTCACTTTTAAAATTTTAGTTAGTGTTATGTAAGGATGGGAAAGGCCAAATAGGATTAAAAATGTCCACATTCAACAATGGCATATTTGTTAGTGTTGTAGTACAAGACAGTCCTGCTGCTAAAGCTGGTTTAAGATTTGGTGATCAAATATTACAAATAAATGATATTTTTGTTGCTGGCATGAGTGTTGATAAAGTCAACAACATTTTTAGAGAATGTTCAGTAAATAACATTTGTGTTATTGTCAGAGACAGGTAATGAGTAAATTTAAAAGAATTTTTATTGAATAACATATTCATTAATGTTTTTTATATTTAGGCCTTTGGAACGTACAATAAATCTATATAAAGATCGAGTTGGCCAGATAGGATTTCAATTCAAGAATGGTAAAATTAACAACATTGTCAAAGATTCATCAGCAGCTCGTAATGGAGTGCTTACAGATCATCAGTTATTGGAAATTAATGGACAAAATGTTATTGGCATGAAAGACAAACAAATAGTCGACATTATTGCTAATGCAGCAGACTCGATTAGCATAACAATCATTCCAGTTACAATTTATGATCACATGATTAAAAAGTATGTTTAATAATAATTGTTTTTATTTTTAAAAAATATTGTTATTCTAGTAGTTATTAACAAACAATTCTAACTTTGTTTACCGTATGAACTGTTTGCTAATATACATTTTTGTCTTAAAGGTTGTTTCACAGTATGTTGATACATTTGACACCAAGTGTGATAAATATAAATTTGAAATAAATTGTTTATTGTTCTACACATGCAATTTAAAGTTATTTGATTATTAGTTGAAGTAATGTAAATATTTCAAAATATGCATTTATAAACCATTTTATAGTATGATTACACAAGAGTAGTTTCTATTTATTTAACTATAACCTATTAGTTATTAATTATAATATGTAATTGCTGGAGTGAATATCATTAAAATAGATGCAGTCAACATGTTTAAAATAGTTTTTCTCTTACTTTATTATATATTTAATTTTCTACACACTATATAATATACATTTATATGATAATTTCTTCAAAGTTTATAATTAGAATCACTTTTAAGTATTTGATTTTTGTTTTAGGATTGCACCATCATTGATCAAGAACTTAATGGATCATTCATCAATTTAAGAACAAAAAAGAAACCTACTCATTTGTTGAAGTCATATTTAAAGTTTATTATTTACTTAACATAGTTTCATTTTAATTTGTGATTTATGTGTATACGGAAAGGTCATCCATTAATTAATATTATTTAGTTTTTTTTTACACAACTGGATTACGTATAACAAATTATACTAGCTACTTAAATTATTATTCCTATATTACATATTCTATGTTTATTTTTTTTATTATTTATGAGTATTATTTTAAAATTTTAAATTTAAAAATAATAATTTTAAGTCATTTTATCATGTATAATATAATGGGTAACTCAATTTTATTAAAAATTGAAGTAGAAAACCCTATTTTTTTTATACTAAGTCTTTTATTATTAGTAATAGAATTTATTTGTTATATAATATATATATGTGTGTGTATTAAATTACTAGAGCACTATTTACATATTGTAGATGAGAACTTAAATTAGCTAAAGTTTTGTTCTAGTTTAATATTATAAACTATTTTAATTAAGATCATTGTTTTTTTTCTATTTTTTAAATCAATAATCTCATCTATAAAAATATATATTTATTGATAATATTTTTTTATAGTGTTTATTGTTTAGCAAAGCTTTTTGCTTAAATGGTCATTAAAGAATTTAAAATATTGTAACAAAAAAAATTCCTAGTAGTTATATTATTAAACAGAAGACGTGATTTAACAAAAAACAATTTTCAATGTCACTAAGATTAATAAATATTAAATAATATTTTAAATTTGTTTATTCAATGAACCATAACATAAAATTATGTGATCAGGTATTTTAAAAATTGATTTTTAACGAGTTATTAATTATCCTATACTTAGACGATCATTAGATAGTTGGACAACGATAAATAATTGAACAAAGTTCAACGAATGTATTAAATTTAGTTACTTGTGAATTCTGAGTGTGCAATTGATCTCACTGCAATCACCACTAACCAGATAAAGTCTTTAGACTTTTAACCAGTGGTTAAGAACGTAAGAAAAGAAGCGACATGGATTTTAAACGGAAAAAGACAGATGGCTGTTGGAATTTTGAAAAAATTGTGGAAATAGGAAAGGATCTGACCGGTCATCGCTTCGTCGACGATTGGCATTCCTCGGTGGTGGTGGTGGACGGTGGTGGTGGTGGTGCATATTCATATGAGTCGAGCTTACCGCGATGGGCGGTTCGTAAACGCGAATCTCTTTGTATAGAAATTCGTGCCAGGCGGCGACGGTTGGTAACACCGCGCAATCGCGCGCGATTTATCATAAAACATTTTTCGCCGCCGCCCGCCACCAATAGCGAACGCCGAACCGCGTCCGTCGGGTTTTTCGCATCGTTAAATTGGTATGGCGTTCATTACAAACTTACCACGGGACTATGCTCCACGTAGTTTCTCTGAGTAGTCGAATCTGCCGTTAACCGGTTAACCGCGTATTACTCCTTTTCCTTTTAGTGTATCAAACAACACCGACAGACTACAATACGATATCCGGTCCTGAAACAGTGAACGAAGAATCATCGACATACGACATTTCGCTTCAAAGACACAAGTGACAGTGACTAACTATGGGCACTTATCTGAGCAAGCCGATTACCGACAAGAAATCTCATGACATCGACAACGGGTGGTTGTCTTGCGGTTCCAGTTCCATGCAAGGCTGGCGCGAGTCTCAAGAGGTAAAACAATATGATTTAAACGGTCTCTGGATTTCCGAAACTAGCGTCCCTAGCCTTAGTACTGGTCCAACCTTATTGGAGGGGTGAATTTTATTTACCTTCACATTGTATTGTTTATTCAGCGGAATTATAATGATAGTTGCGGTATGTGGTGCGGGGAGTGTGGAAGCTCTTGCTCTCCCCCATATGATTCCGATGTTTTGAAATTTGCATGTCATCAATTCTTTTTAGGAGAAACTATCTTGCATTGAATGGGATCTCTAGTGTTAGTTTAATGTCTTGTATGTGTACATGTATAAATTTTTATTTTTATTTAGGACGCACACAATTGTCTGTTGGACTTTGACAAAAGCGTGGCACTCTTTGCTGTATATGATGGACATGGTGGTGCCGAAGTTGCCCAGTATGCTGCTGAAAAGTTGCCTTCTTTAGTTAAAAACTCCTTATATGATAACCAAGATTATGAAAAGGCTTTGATTAAGGCGTTCATGGACTTTGACGACAGTCTAATCGAGTCACCCAATGTTGAAAGATTAATTGCTCTCCGGGAAGATAATAATGAAGAATGTGGTAGGTTGATTATAATTTATAGGTAGTAGGTAGTTACTAAGTACATTTTATTCTGCAAAAATTTGAGTTGAGAAAAAGGCTGATTTTTAAATTAAAATGTATGGTTTAAAGTCTTTAAAAAAAAAAATTATTTAAAACCATATAGAATCTTTAAAATATAGTAACTAGTTGAAGTAATGAATGAGATATTAACGTATAATTTATTATTTATTTATACATATCACATTATATGCTTAACTCTTTTTTAACATTATCATAAATATTAAAATCCTTCCCCTTCTGAAAACTTCTTGATAGTATCGAATGCACTGACTATGCCTATTTGTTTATTTAATCATATCATATTTAATTAAATTTTTTAATGCATTTTAATACTTTTATTAAATTATTAAAAAAAAAAAATATTTAAATTGAGTTTTTATATACTAATTGACTGATTATTTTAAACTGCATACATTTAATTTTAGTTTTATATTATCTATATTTATTATTACGAGAAGTTTTTGTATTGTCTTCTTTTTACTATTACTTAATTTTGAAAATTTTACATTCAGAATAATTCTTTTTTGTTCTTTATAATTTTGTAGTGCGTTAACCTATGATTAAATTTAATGTTGACGATGTAATCATCTTAGCTGTATATAGGTTTATTTTGATATTTTAATTGTTAAGCAAGTAGTAAGTATTTTAAAATATAATAATTTAAAAAAAATGTATAACTCACCTAAAAAATAAAATATCTTAAAAGTTCTATTCATTTTTTATTAAACATTTCTACACAAAATTGGAATTACTAAATACAGATTTATTACGCTATACGTTTTTAAGATAGACACAATACCGGGTGTGGCATAGTGTTGGGACATATATTTAGATAACCAGAATATGATATCCAGTAAATTAAAGTTGCAAAATCTGAATATTTACAATTATTTGTAATATTCGGATTTTTGTACTTTAAATGTTAAATCAAATATTTATTTTTATTATGATATTAGATAAATTTAATGAGAAACCGAGTTTTACGTATTATTATTCAAACTTCTAATGTAATATCATTAATAATTATAAATGAGATATTATCTGTATAACAATAATGTTTTAAGTTCAATCATTCTTATTCATTTGGTACTGAATTTATTTAGTTATTTTTTTTCAATTTCGTGCCGTCAACGTTGTTTAATATAAAGAAACACCTAATTTATTTTTTTGTTTGATTCTATGTTTTTGTTATATTAAATTATAATTTATTAAATATATTTTGTTAATACATATCATGATTTTTTATTACAAATATTGTATGATAAATACCTGATTTTTATCTGAATTTAAAAATATCTGAGTATCCAATAGTTCCAACACTAGTATAACATTTTGATAAGTATATTATATGATATACTTAAAATGTATTTTACAGTGATATGTGTAAATTTTATAGTTTTTATTTTATTAATGTTATTATGTTTTTTATCAGTTTTTGGTTTATATTAATTCTTATTTGCTTTTTTAAAAACAAACGATTATTATTATTTTTTTAAATAATAAATAAAAATAAGTTAAATAGCAGGAAAGGAAAATATTAACGCTAGTTTACATCATAATCAATTTTGTTTCTGTAAACAACTATAGAGACATGAAAGTTTTATTAATGTATTTTAAAAATTTTTAACCCCATATATAATTTTTTAAATATTTTAGCCTTTTATGATTTATTTATCAATTATATCTTAAATTTTTGAATTGTTTATTTTTTTTTTTTTTGGTATTCCAATACATTTGAAAGCTTACTATAGGTTCCTCTAAAATTGTTCTTATGGTAATGCAAAATATATAAGCATATTTTATTTATAGGAATTTGAAGTTTAATTTTGATAAAATTAAATATTTAAACAAAAAATAATAAAACCAAATCATTTGTCCATACTTTAAATGGATAGAAATAAATAACTATAATTTATTTAACAATGCACATTTTGTGTAAATTAATTTATGTATAAAGATTATTATAAGATACAAAAAATTTTTAGCAGATGAAGAAGAAGAAAGAGAAGAACTTAATGAGCTTTATGAAGAGGCTAAAATGCCAATTGAAGATATAATATTAAAGTATAAAAATAAAATACTTGAAAATATAGAAAAGAACAAAGAAAGTGAAGATGAACCTAGTTCTTCTAAAGAATCTCATATTACAAAATCTGTTGGTATGTTTAATAACAATTAATTTTTTTGAGAAAACATTATGTTAACCTAATACTTTAAATTTATTTAGTTGAAACAAATGATGCCTGCGGTTCTAGTAGTAGCAGCAGTAGTAGCATAATAGTTAAAGGTACATATTCATTTTAATTTATCTTATTTTTTAGTTTATATATTATGTTAAAATTGATATTATAGATAAAACAAATGTTGGTAATGGAATTGATGGATGTACATCCAAAGATTCAACAGCTGAAAGTTCATCAAGTGCTAAAGTTAATGGATCATTAAATGATGAAACTGAAAATTCTGTTGGTGAAAGTAGTGAAGCCGAATGTGGTCCTAGCAGTAGTAATGGTCAAAATGGCATTGATCAAATTGCAGGAACCGCGTGTTTAATTAGTGAGGATTCAGAAGATGACACAGATGATGATGATGATGACGACGACGATGATGATGATGAAATGTTTGAAGCTTCAATTGAGAATAAGTTAGAGTAAGAGTTATGATCAAGTTAATACTACCTAAACCTATTTTTATGATGTCAGTGTCATATTAAATTAAACTAGTGGATGTATTTATAGTAACTAAATTTATATAGTGACTTACTAGTTGTGATTCTTTAATTTGAATAACACTTGAATCTACTTTATACAGGTTTTACTAATATTGTTAAACAATATATTTTAACATTGTATTAAACAGTATATGATAGAACACTATAGCTTAAATATCTATAGAGTAATTTTATTTTAGTATGATTATTTCTCATTGTTTTATATACTATAGTTACTAAATTTAAACTATTAAAATGCTTAAAAACTAATTTTCATAATTCAAGATGATAAAATGTTGATAATTTATGTTTAGTGATGAATCAGATTCAGACAGCGATGAAGAAGAAATCCCAAGTAATAGTTTCATTTATGAAGATGATGATGAAGAGGATAAGGTAATAAATAATGATTTAGTTTTATATTAGATAGTGAATGCATTTTTGAAAATAGGCATTTTTCTTATTTATAATTAATAGTTAATTATCTATAAACATCTGGTGATTACAAAATGTATTGAATCATATTTACAAGTATACTTCTATATCCTACAATGTTAAAGTTCATACTTCATTCTTTAAACACAATTATTATTTATATTTTGTCCAGCAATAAAATTCTATAGCCTGACAAAAAACTGTTTTGTGCATTCCCACTCAACGTTTTGCCATAATGAAACTTCTGTCAAATGTGGGGGTGTGCAGAATTTGTGAATTTTCCTGCTAGGCAGAGTATAGATAGTAATTTTAACATTAACAAATATTTATTTATTGTAAAAAATATTCAAAATTATTTCTTTGTAATTTTTATGTATATTAATGATATTAAATATTTTAGCCAGGAAAAGATAGTGGTTGTACAGCAGTAATGGCTCTATTAGTAAACAACAAACTTTACGTTGCTAATGCTGGAGATTCAAGATGTGTTGTTTCTATTGATGGTAAAGCTCATGATATGTCTAAAGATCATAAACCTGAAGATGAACCAGAGTTAAAGAGGATTTGTAAAGCTGGTGGAAGAGTTTCAAGTGACGGACGAGTGAATGGAGGTTTAAATCTTTCGAGAGCTTTAGGTAATAATTTCTTTTATTGTTTTGTAATGTGTAAAAAATAAAAAAGAATTAAATAACTGAATATTTTTTTTCAGGTGATCATAATTATAAAAAAAATAAAGAACTTGCAAATACTGAACAAATGATTACAGCTCTACCTGATGTAACTGTCTTAGACTTAACATCAGACAATAATAATTTTATAGTGTTAGCTTGTGATGGTATTTGGAACTCATTAAGCAGCCAGGAAGTTGTTGATTTTATTTTGGAACGCATCAACAAACCAGATGTCAAATTATCATCTATTTGTGAAGAAGTATGTAGATATATTAGTAATTGATGTATCAATAATTACTTAAATTTCATTTTTATGTTTAATTCATAATTATAGCTTTTTGAACAATGTTTGGCACCCAATACATTAAGTGATGGTACTGGCTGTGACAATATGACATGTATAATTGTCAAGTTAAAATCAAAACAAAAGCGTTCTCGTACAGATGACGAAGAGGGTGATTCGGAAGGTGGCGAGTGTAAAAAACATAAATCAGATTCAATTGAACCTGAATCTGTACAATAATGTTCCTCCTGATATCGAAGATTTGATTTGACGAGCTGTTTGTATTTGTTTCTGAATTTTACAGACGCATGCGACTGATTTATGGATTAATTTATTTTCTTAAATTTTAACAAGAAAAAAAACATTATCTTATAATTTATATAATAATATTATTGTAGTGTAGTTTTATTATATTTTTCATAACTAAAATTTCATATGATAATAAAGTTATTTTATCATTTTAATAATATTGTACATAGTATAATAATTTGACACAAGTATTTTTTTAAATACTCATATGAAATATATATATATATATATATATATATACTGTATATATATTTATTAGTTATAATTTTGTTCATATTTATTTATTTTAATATTTCAATTAGGTAATATTATAATTAATAATAATTCATAAAACATGAAAATGAGAAACAATAATGTTGAAGTATATATTTTATTTTATATAATTTGAATTAATAGTTAAACACTCACTTAAATACAGTTTTTTTGTTAAAAAAAGTACAAAGGCATAGTCTTCATTGGAGTCAATTTAAGTAAGTTCATTTTCAAATATATATAATATATTTGTATGTAAAGTAATTTCTAATTTTATATCATAGGCTTAATGCAAAATGTTAACACAAAAACATAACTAAAATAGTTCTGGTGATAAAATCCAAGCTGCTAAATTTATAAAACATAAATATTCAACTAAATGTTTTAATAAGTTAATATGTAAAGGACACCAAAACCAACAATAGATCACAGATAATGTTATTATCTTTAAATTTGATAATTGGTCAATTTGACTGTAATAATAAAATTTACAAAACTAAACTGCTAAATGTTAATATGCCATGTTAATCTAGCTGTAAGACAGACACAAAAAATTCGGGTGTGGTGTCCTCTTAAAATTGAAATGCAATATTTTAATTCTTTGAGAATGTAAGCATTTTTTGAAATAGTGGTTCTACCCTAAAAATGTTTTCATTTACAATATGGACCGGTCATAAGCCTTTGGTCCGATGTTAAGAACCACTGATATAAAATATTGTACTCTTATTCTGTGTGAATTTATAAACATTTTAGGCAATGTTAATGCGTAGATGACTAATAAAAAATGAATTATTGTTTTAATATTTATCTTATTTCTTTGGATTTTGGATAAAATAAGGTATTAGGATGGTTATAGTTTTATGCATGAGGTAATCAAAACTGAAAGATATTTATAATTTTTTTAATTTTACTCAATATTTAATATAGCTTAAAATAAATTTATTATTTATCATTTTAAACATGTGTGTATTGTGTATTAATATCTTATCAAACATAATTTTTTTTAATACTTTTTAATAGCACAATTTCTGTACCTATTATTAAATACTAATGTAGAACCACAGATGTCTAGACACGTTACATTTTATTAGTTACCTAATAGTTAATACAATATTTTAGTTCATAGTCAGTCTTAGGCAAGTGCCCCCTGTTCCACTCTCGCTACGCCCATGAGCACCTCTCTGTTTATACACATGTCGGCTGAACGGTTTAACTGTGCTACTATAGAGATTTATTTGAAGTAAGTAATAGCCGATATTATGTACAGCTGAAGTATGAAAAGTGAGTTGACACACACACGGTATGTTTATATAAATTGCATGCGCCTGACTATGATATTTCATGTCTTAGATTTATGGGTGTAATTTTCCATTAGATTTTTAAATAAATTACACCGAAACCATAATTTTACGATTTTCAAAGGACGCTGATATATGTAAATAAGTGATAAAACATGCATTATAATGTTCCTTAGATAAACTAATAATTCAAAAATAACTACCAAGTCCTAATTGCTAATTAGTTATTATATTACACGATACCTATGTATTATATAATGGTAATATTGACAGGTGATTTAACTCATAATTCTTTGTGTAACTATGTACATATACTATATAGAGAAAGTGATAGGTCTCACTGTCTCAGTAAGACTAGCAAGACTAGCAGAGTTGGCTGTTGGGTTGAAAATTAGTTTGTTTCGGGAATATTAATTCTGTTAAATAACTTGACATAGTTAAAAATTAAAAGGTATTCAATTTTTTTGCCTCGATAATATAAATTGCTTTATTTTATTTTATTTTTTCAATAAACATACATTTTATAAAAACTTGAAATGCTCTAAATTCAGGCTATGCCGAAGTGGAATATTAACGAAAAAAAAAATAATAATAATTTCGAAATATTCTTATATTTCATATGATAAAATAATAAAAGAAAAAATAATTTTTACTAGGTATTCCAACATTAAAATTGGACATTTAAAAAACAATAACTATTATTAAAATTTTCCTATCAATTAAACTAGATTTAATTTTTTTTTTTTTTAGTTAAGATTTTAAACTAACTGTAAAAATTATTTTATTATATCAATCAGTTATTTCAGCTTGCAGATATTATCGATATATTATTATAATAACAAATACAAAGTTGACTAAATATTGAAATATCATGCGTTTATAGCTCCTGCATAACCACATACGAAATGAAAAACCTTCTGTAAAAATTGCCGCCCCGAAAATCCTTTAAATTTTTTCATCGAGACAATGGCCGCTTTTAATCTATGTAAATACTAAATGCGCAGTGCACTGCTATTTTGAACTCAATAACAACTTGCGTTAGGTTTTCACTGACAACTTGTTTACGGATCTTTTTTTGCTTCATTTTACACCAGTCACTTGAGTTATTTGGTTAATTTTTTTTTTATTTTGACCGGCGTCGAAAACGTGTCGGTACACTTTGTTAGTACTATATAGGTGGTTTAATACGTACACACAGCGTGCGTTTGCAGTCTACCAGTTCATAATCATAAATAACTTGTCATCTCTATTATTAGTGATAAGATTAGTTTTATACTCATCTTAGTTATAAGTTAACAATAATATTATTCGTAAAGGGGAAGGTACCTATTGATTTGTATTATATATATAGGTAATAGATAATAGGTTGTAAATAATAAAAAAACTCTGTCACAGGCTCGTCACTTGTGTTTGCTACACAACTACACAAGTGCTGTAATATTTCGTGTGGGTGTCGTAAGTCACTTCTGTATAAAGACGATAGAAGGAGAATTCAAGTAAAAATAGTCATAGCGTCGTTTAAAAAAAAAAAATATTTATAAAAGTATGTACTTATACTGTATTAGACTATCATAATATGATTTATAAAAGTAGTCGATGTACAGTTTTTTTTTTCTGCTTTTTACTTCGAAATCGACTTAAGCGGTTTAATCATTATACACTGCAGTGATTTATCATCATCTGAAAAAAGTATGGAATAAATAAAAAAGGTACTTTCGCATAATATCGTACGGCGAAAAAATAAAATAAACTTTTCCAGATAGGCTGCGGGCGTATTACTCTCAACGACCGTTTGTCACGTTAAAAATAATTCATTATATTCTCTACGGTTGTACGTTAGGCGCATACATCGCGATAAAAAGTTACTCGTCAGGTTAATTACGCAGTTAGAGTTCATCGAACACATCGTTAAAGTAATTCGTTGATTAAATAGAAGTTGTGAAATGTGTGACTTCTGTATAGCTTGGCTTTCAAACCGCCTTTATTGTAGCTTAGAATATTTGGATACCTATCTGAAGAACACCGTCATACGTGTTAGTACAAATATTTTTATTCTACAGAGGTGTATTCTATCGTATAAAAAACCATTAAAATCCGATTTTCAGAATGTGATCCGTTCGCATAAGTTCATATCTTCTTGTATAGGCACGTTTTAATAAGCGCGTTGTACGGTAAGTAAATAGATACATTTGTGGGTCTCTGTGGTGCGTTCAACGTTATTGGACGAAAGTATAAAATTATAATAAATATGTCTTAACTTTGATAAGTTTTATTAGTTTTTATCGTTATTTTAATATGTTCACTAATCGGGAGTTAAATTATGAATCAATTTATTAAATCATAAAATTATACGATATGGTTAATGGAGATATACAAACGGTTACAGGTGTCATCGAGATGATGGCTGACGGGTTTTGAAAAAAAACACAAAGTTTAGAACACACTTAGTCTTTTATGATAAGGGTGGGGTAATGCATGTTTCTACCAATAGTGTACGTTTTTATTTTCCACGAGATTATGATCGATTTCCGTTTACATAAAAAGAGTGCGTAGGTTACCATATTATGATTCATCTATCTACCGTCATTGTTTTTTTGTTTTTTCTTGGTTTTACATAATAATGTTTGTTTTAGATTTTGAGATACCTGCAGTGTTATTATTCTTTTTATAGTTCCCAACTTTGAAAGTTTTGGTTAAACATAGTAATGGCTGGTTACCCGTTTTTTGTTAGGATGTGAATAACCGCTCAAAGTGTTTCGACTTAAACAAGTCAAAATAATAGGTTTACACAGATTTAAATTTCAAAGAGTCCCTTTAAAGTACCTTTGAGCCTTTTTCTTAATTTTTTTTTTTTGAATTTAATATCAATTTCTATGTTAGTTTCAATTTTTATGATTTTTATAATTTGTACTTTTTTATAAAATCTATAGTTGTTTAATATATTAAGTTTTTTCACAAAAATTTAAAATATTTTATGATTTATTACATATTTTAGGAAAAATTACTTTTCAGGGATTCCAATTTTAACGTTCTAATTACAAAATGTTAGGCATAACCGGTACCCCCGTGTGCACACCTATGGCACAGCATGTATATATTTTGATAATATCAATGATACGACGACTTTGACAGAAAGTTTTATGATTGCTATTATTATCTATTGCAATACCAAAATGATTTTATTTTTATTTGATGTAGGTGACTATATGTATATTCAAATAAATATATGATATAATGTTTTTTATAATTAGCTTTGTAATTGTTTATAAATATTTTATTGTATTTTAAAATAACTTTACTGTTTAATAGCTTTCAAAAGTTTTTTAATTTTCAAGAAAAATTTTCTTAAAATCTAGAATAAACTTTGTACTTACAACTAAAATAAAATAATGCATGTATTAATTAGTGGTAGAAATATTTTTTGGTGAAAATGAGAATTATTTAGTATCCCATTCGGCGAAATGGGTATTAGTGGAAAAGAAAAATGTACATTTTTAATGAAAACTTTTTATAGCGATTTTGTGTATAAGAGTCTATTGCTTCTACAGTGTTTTATCCTTGTTATTAAATTTTTTTACTTATCAATATCACAGTGAAATATAGTTTTTAATAATTGCTGCGGGTTTTATAGCCACAAATATTAATTATATGGTTCATAGTTAAGTAGTATTTGGTTTACTTAGCTCAAAATAAAAACTATGTAAATAATAATAATTTAAAAATCTAAGTAGCTTAGTTAAGTCATTTTTGTATTTTAAAAGCTGACGAATTACTTATTTTTATTGAGTATTTAAATAGCTAGTTAATACATTTTAAATTAATGTGTGCAAAAATAAATAAAATAGACGATAAGATAAGGGCAGATACGATGACACGATTTCTAATCTATAGATATTTCAAATTTTTATTTTTTGTTTCAGGGCTCTAAATATATTGTGTATCTCTGTTGTATACAGTATAATATGATACACCACATACATTTAGTGGCATTATTAACATTTTTTTCATTATTTTACCCATCAATAACGAGTCACATATTATAATGCAATTATTAGTTTTATTTCATATGCTTCCAGCAATTAATATATCATTAAGCTAATAACATGCATATTCACATTTAAGTTTAAATAAAACGAAGATAAAACTTTTGATTAAGAAGACGCCACATCTACTGTACATTTTTTATTCATTTAAAAATAATCTTAATTTGATTAAAAACTAAAATATTAATAAAAGCTTCTGAAATATCCTAAATAATAATATTGCCATTCAATTTTATAATAAGTTAATTCACAATAAATTTAAAAATAACAAAGTAAAATGGATTATTGTAAATGATAAATTTACTATATTTTATATTATTTATAAGACAAAGAAAACATAGGTAGATGTGGCGTCCTTTTAAGATTTTAAAAGCCAGTCCTTTATTTGTTGTCTTTGTTTCATAAATAGATAGTACCTAACTTATTTCAAAATTAGAATATTGAAAAAATACAGCCAATATTGTTACTTACAAGTTTGATAATAATAGAGACAATAAAATGCAACCTCATCTTAATGTATAACGCTTAATAATCAATTAAACTTAAAGTACTATATCGAGTATTCGAGCCAAGAATGTTTAAAGTTATAGTTATTTTTTTCTCTATATTTTACCTACCACCGACCAGCCAAAAGTAAGTTGAATTATGATAATTTGAAGTTTTCATCGGGAGTTAATATCAATACTAGGTACCTACTTTTTAAATTGTAGACATATTTAATTTTTTTTAGAAAACTACAATATTATTAAAGATATTAAATTAACTTCTAAATTTTTTTTAAAAGACAAGGTTACACCGAACATTTTTAAAATAATGAAAACAAATTACATAGATTAATGTATCTTGGACATAAAATAATTACAATTCGTACGGTTGTCGACGAGGACGAAAGCGATAGAAGTATAGGTCGGTTGAAATCTTCCTCCTGACGCGGTGTACATATATTTATATGAAATTTGCCGAATTGATAGAGTGACAAAGCTACATAAGCAACTGTGTCGATTTTGTGACCAATTTACAAGTTATGTTAACTTTGAAAACTTACAGACAGGAAATCCTTTTCAGGTAAGTCCGTGTACACGTAAACACCATCTGCGCGAATGAGATAAAGAAAATTTCCTTTATTCTTTTTCCCTCTCTCTACAATAATCCGAAAGCTATTGCGAGTCGATATATGCTCATACTCACGGTGTTGCTGTAAACGAAGTTTGAACAACACAATGTGTAGGTATACTGTATACACATGTATAAACTCAGATATGTCGTTTAAAGAAAAACTTTACTTGTAGTTTATACTCGCTTAGCCGACCAACGTAGTTATATACATATTATTTCCTATATGTTTTTTGTTTTAATCTTTCAATCTAGAGTAAAAATCCATAAAGCGTTGATATTTTGTCTCAAAAAATCAATTACACGTGGGTGCCTATTTAATTGTATTTCTATCATCGTGAACCTGAATATTGAAGTGTATTTTTTCGTGTACCTATTAGTATTTAGGTGTTACATAGGTTTCAATTATATAAATGGTATTATTTTATATGATTATTCTTCACTCTTCACTCTTCACTCTTGAATTAATTATAAATACAATACTTAACAATACACTACACAACTAACATTAGATTTACTATTAAACAAACCATAAACATTTATCATAAGTCGAATGAGTTAGGTATATAATATTTATATTTAGTTTAAACAAACCAAGTAATACGTCAAGTATAACAATGGAAAGAAATCCATCTGAAATTTTGTAGTTACATAATGATAATAATTTCAAAATATTGTTTAAATTTAACAGACATTCAACATGCAGTTATCATCTATATGATCAAGTCTCCTAATTTTAGTACCTAAATATTAACTCACATGTGTTTTCTTTCTATCAAGTTTTTTTTTTATTATATTTTTTTTAAATTTTTGTACAAATTTTCATTTATTTAATTGAGAATTTCAACGTCACAAGGCGCGTTGTACTATAAGTATCTATGGCTAGTTATTTTAGGAGCACCAGCAACAGTACCAACAGTAGTTATATAAGTAAAAGTATGTACAGTTAGAAGAAGCAGTGGTAATAGTAATAGTAGTAAGTAGTACCTAATTATTGTAGTCGAAATTAGAGATAAATAATTATGTATTTAATGGTGGTGGTATGTGAGTATTGTAGAATGCAGTCGTAGTTAGGCAAATACGAATATTTCTACACACCCTGTATATAGTAGTGGTAGTAATTATTTTTCGTTTGATGTTTTTGTTTTTATTTTTAATTTAATTTTTATGATATCGAACACGAGTTGCGTTTTGATCTCCCACCACCTCCACCGCCGCCGCCACCACCGCCATCATCTTTGCCGCTTGCCTTTTTCTGCAGGTGAGCAAGTTGCGCCGGCGTGGGCACCATCGACCCCTGGCCCGAACCGCCGCCGGACGGCAACGATTGTCTTCGCGCCGAGTTCCGCCTCAACGACGGTCCCAGGTCGTACTTGATCTTCGCCTGGTTCAATAGTTCCTTGAACACTTCGCTCACGTTTATGTTGTCTTTTGCAGACGTTTCCACGAAACCGTTTTCCCAGTCCACTTCCACTAAACACGACGTCTCCTCGTACGGTACCTGTCGAAAAAATAACACACGGATGTTGTTTTAGTAAGGTTATATGTCAATACTACAAATTTTTTAAATTTCATAAAATACGAATATTGTTCTAATTTCATCATTTATTTTATTAGCTTAGGATTTGGGATTAGCTCATAACGCACCCGGCACCCATAATTCTAAGGTTAGGTTTGATTTGGTTTGGTATTTCTATTTTCAATATAAACCTGCATCTGACTGTTCACTCCATAATATGACATATTTGACGGTTTTAATATATACGATATCTCGATAATTAATAATTTTATTTCATGGTTTTATTTATTTTATTTAAATGACAGCTATAAGCGATCACTTTACTTATAACTATACGTTGAGGGTATTTGATAAATTGTAGATACAGATGACGGCCTAGCTACAATTTTAAAAGATCTATTTTAAGTTTTACACGTTGAAATATTTTTTTATTTTTTTTTTTTTTATTCATGGTACAGCTTTAAGTACTAAGGTTATTAGGATCACTGTATAATGTAAATCATCGTAATTCATATAATTATATAACCCATTCATTTCGTAGTTATATAATATATTATATAGATATTAAGCTTAGGCATAAAACGATGATACCTGTTGATTTTACTTATATCTGAAAAACTGTACAGTAGATAAGTAGTATGCTCCTTGTATTTAAAAAAAATGTAATTATATTGTTGCAGAACTTTTGCAATTAAATGAAAACGTATTTAATTATCTTACTATGATAATATTGTTATTTTTTATAACTGTTAATTGTCAATGTAATTAAAATTAAATTTAGGCACTGTAACAGCTGTTATATTTAATAATCCAGTATCTGTGTATTTTAATACAAATGACGCAACTAATCCAAAAGGTTTCTTTGATTTATAAATAGCAATGCAAACGAAAAAATACATTATAAAAATGAATGTGCTTGCTGCAATATTTATATATATTATAATCATTAAAATATAACTTTAATAATTATTGATAATTCATATTGTAATGTACATTTAATAAATGTATATTATATTATTTCATATTGAATACATCTACCAACTGCAACAGGTTAATCCGTCCATTAAATTACATCAACTTGTTGCGTAATTGTTACGTAGGTTACTTATTAATTATTGGTCATCGCTATTAATTAATGTATAGTGGTGTCGCGTTGCCTTGTGCAATCCCATATTGTGTTAAATTTATCAAGTTGGGTCATAAGAAGTGTGACTATATTTTAGTGAAAAAAATGATCTCTCTAGTAAACTGAGAAAAAAAATATAACAATCATAACGAAGACTTACTTATACGCACCCTATTCATGACATTATATATACATGTCACGTTCACACCATGTAGTGTACACCGGCTGTTCGTACGGTGAAAAGAAGGAAAACTTACAATTGTGTTTAGCGAATTTCGAGTTGAATGCAAACGAAACAATTTGCATAGAACGTGTATAATGTTTATAATATACCTAAGTACCTACCTATATATTTATGTATACAAACATTTTACTCCGGCCATTGCGTGTATATTTACATTGTATTGTTGGCTGACGGATGTGCAATTTTTTTTATAAAAAGCTCATCTATGAAACTGACACAATATTTACCTACTTATCTAAAGTGTATATTATAGTATTATACGATATTATTACAATGTATAATGTAGTGTTACTCCGCATAACAAGTAGAAAGTTTTAAATGTTTATCAATAGTAAAATAAAAGAAAAAAATATTTTGAAAATGATATGATGTCCATAATATAATAATATAAATGTTTGTCACCCGGCTATAAACTATATACTTTTGAGTAACAAAAAAAAAATAAATACCTCCAGGGTATAAACTAGATCCTATCTGTTACCTAAACGACCTTTAATATTGAAGCATTTTTTCTACTATAGAAAGTGTCTATTAACATAGGAAAAAATGCATAGGTAAAAGTAAAATCTACACTTCTGAATAAAATGTCTATTAAGTTGAATTCAATGTTTCATTTTTTTTTAAATATTTAAGAACGCGTTTTTTATGAATACGTTTGACAACCACGAAGACTAGACATGTCTATTCTTTAAAGAAATAATCTAAATAGGTAACATACATTTAAGTGCTTTTAACTTATTATAACATTGATAGGTGCGTTTATTTTCTAATACTCAGATCGATAGAAATTTTAAAGTTTTATTTAAATTTAAATGGTTATATTGCTCAGAGTCGTACCTACTAATATCGTTGCTGTAGTTGACTAACATACGATTATTTATTATTTTTGATATTATTAAAAAAAAAAAAATCAATATGGTCTAACCGTGGTATACGTTATCGCTTATATGGTTATTATTAAGTGGGCCACTGGTTTTAAATTTTTGAGTACCTATACTTAAAAAATGTTTAAGCACCTAATACGTGAAATGTGCGAATATAGAGTGTAACACAATATATGACGAAAAAAGGTAACACGCTTAGGTTTGTAGGTAAGTTTAATATTGAAATATCAAATAGCGGCGCGTATTGTATATTTAATGAAAATAATACGATGGTGGTACTTGCAGGTGTGTAATATACTTATTACTTATATTTTTCAATTTTATGAAACGTTTGAGGGCCACATGAAATATAAGTGGTCATCATTACATCGTAAACGCCGATTCAAATAAAATACTATTTCTTTGTTGTCAATAATCGTCGTCTAAAAAAAAACATGTTGCGTAAATGATAAGTATATATTTACGCACTATAGCACTGAGAATTTTGAAAATTGAAAACATAACATAAATTTTATAGTATAGGTATACTTAGTTATAACACACAAATACAAAGCGGATAAGGCAATTAAAAATTGGAATGTAGATACTTTTTAGATCAAGATTTAGATATTATTTCTATGATTTTAAACTTCTTTAATTGTATTTCTCTTGACTTTGTCGTTACTGTTTAATTTTAACAGATTTATTATTGATAAACATATTGATACGTTAACTAACAACAGTATTAATTAATTTTGATGTTTTTAAAATAAATTCTAACTTTCTACAAAAAATTACTTTATACATATTGTGTATTGTGTGTATTATATATATATAATATATTTAGTAATACATACTTGTAATACTGCTAGTTATAAATATTTTTGTGATTTCATGACTATTTATACTAATTATTAGTTACAGATTGTTTATTTTTTTCTAAAGAACCAAAAATAAACATTATAAGGGTCACTTTTATTTGTATTAGAGTCGTCCACCTAGGTACCTAAATGACAGCTTTTTTGGCGACGCAGCTTGTTCATAATTAAATACCATAAGTACATGTACAGTTATAGACGATTAGAACAGTTATGTACTTGTGTGGTTTACGTAAACCTATACCAGCAAAATAAATATACTAATCTTAAAGACAATATTTCATTTCCAAACAATAATCATATTATTAATATGGTTCATTATTCCGGCGAGAGATGATTTTAAATCGGTTTGAACAAACTGATTTTTCGATATTTTGAACCACTAAATTCCATTGAATGTAATTATGTATTTATTGGGTAGGTACACAAGTTTCTTGCGAATTTTGGTTAACGAATACCTATTATACCTAAAATATTATCGGCTGCAATTCATCGTTTATCAACACCAGAAACGATAAGTCGGGTTGCAACTCACCCTTAGCCAAATAATCACAATAAAGCAATGTTCACTGATGCGTTATTCCACAATATTTATTTACAATACACATTTAACACCCACCCTTCCCTTTTCACCCTCCCACGGTTATGGTCATCTCCAGATACAATACAATCATGCCACAGCGTATGTTATCATTTAATCAAGTGCAGGTATGTTTATACATTAAAAGAACAAAAAAAAAAAAAATATAGAAAAACAATAGACATAGAAGTCCTTGCATGCATTACAGTACACATATTTTATATTTTGTCAAAAATCTAAAATGTATGCACATTTCATATTTACAAAGATTTACGAAATCGCTATTTTATTAACTGTTTTACATTCCAACATCTATTCGTCAATATCATTCGTATGCACATAAACATTATACGTACGTACGAATATAATGTATGTATATTTACGAAATATCACGGCGTAAATTGCATTGACAGTCTGCGTACGATTCATAAACTGAAGAATATATTATGACTATGAGCTACTTCTGTAGATATAATGATATTTCCATTAAAAATATTGTTGAAACCACATTATTATATTATAGATAATTTTGTTTTCAGATCTAGCAAATTTAAATAATGGTCCACGTGTAGTTATAATACTATGTATATGTGTTTGAACAAATTAAGACATAGTCGAATGTCAGTTGTATATATTATCCGTAAATTATGTAAATTCCAATTAAATTTTCTCAGAGGTGATGAATATTGTATTTATATATATTTTATAATGATATTTATATTGTGCGTTATGCTTACATGATGGGAATGCGATTCACGATTTTTTTTAATAAATTTTATCGAGGAAGCTGAACTGTAATGAATTCAAATATATACAACAATTTGTAAAACGTATATATAAATGCATAATACGTCTTTTTGTTGATATTTATTTTTCGTATTTCAGTAAAAGACTTGTAGTTGTAATGCTGATGGCATGCTATTGAGGAATAAAATAAATTCGAGTGCTACGAATCACAAATTGACATAGATTTAACATCAAAAAACATTTAATAATAATATTTTAACGATTTTAATGATCATGTTGCATATATAAATATATTTGAACCTTAAGTATTAACATTTAAAAAATAATTATTAAATAATTTACTAATTTTTATGATTTTGACAAATTATGTTAAAACATGAACTTCAAACTCTAAAAAAAATAAATGTGACTGTATTTTTGATGATCCTAAATTGATGTAAGAAAAACTTTTAGAAATGATCTTGAACCTATTCAATTCCTAACTTTGACATAGAAATAAAAATGATATAAAAATAAATCAAAAATGATTTTTACTAAAGTCAGT